ATGGATTTGAAATGTGAACATGCCTCTATCCTTGGTAAAAAAATGAGCCCGTTTGGTCGAGTTGTAATGAAGATATTCAACTTTTTCTTTGTGGAGTTACTTACTGGACACCCTATATTACATTTCACACAATTTATATTACAATTACATATGCTACTTTTTCGCTCAGCCTTTGCCTAGCAACATAATTAACGAAAACAACATAGCTGAATGAGAAAGTTCATTGAATGATTAAATCGAAGAGAATTGACTTAAATTATATTTGACCATTGCTTACCTGAACAGCCACTGCATACCATATTCCGACTTTAAGTCCTGTGAGTGTTACACTGCAATTGTGTAATGTTGTATTATTTGGTACAGCATTTGGATAACAAATATCACCACATTCGTCAACTGGATCATGATTGGGATAAGATACAGTTGTTCGTTTGGTTGTTGTTGTAGTTTGAACAGAACAAAGACTTGTTGTACATTTATCACCCGTACAAGGGGTTCCTACACAGCCAGGGCAAGTACAACTACAACCGCTTGAACACACGGTAGAACCACATCCAGAACACCCTCTTTTTCTTCGAATATGAGCAATTTGTTCATCAGTAATTAAATTGTGATACATATATGGAGTGTATAAATGCGCTATGTCATCGTTTTCATAGGACCGTCTTCGTCTACGATATCCAGATCGATATCCAGACCATCGACAACGCACATCATCACCTGAGTTAACATCCGATACGGGTATTTGGATCGTAGTTGTTGTATTCACAATCACAAATTGTGGTGATATGACACTTGCTACTGGTGGAGTGTTCATAAAACCATCTGGTCGCATTCGAAGGTCAATCGAGCACAACATCGACCAACTAAAATTACGTAGTGGTGGATCATTCAAACCTAGCCAATAGCTACTCTGATATGCTATGGAAAAAGTTGCGTTAGCTGAGAGATTAATATTGCTTGATCCTTCACTTGCGATCGTGCCGAGCGACAAACTAAGTGAGGCACAGTCGGTTAAAATATTAACTGGTGCATTGGAATAACCACCATCTGTCGAACAAGAATCAACACAAGTCAAATTCATGTTTGTATCGTTGTAGGCACTAGTCGAAATAGGAATATCCTTTGCACAGGACACAGACGGATAGCTCCACCAATACGATTGTGTGATGGTGACACCAACTGAACTTGAATTGCCGTAAGGATCTATTGGCGCCCAGCTAATGGTACCGCCGTAGAAGTGATCCGCTTCGATGATAACAAAATAAAATACAAATGTCCAAATGAAAATGGCCATTTTGCTAGGATTGGTTTTCAATAGATTAAAATCTAGAAGAAAACATACAAGAACTCCCTATTATAACAACTAACGGAATGGGTGTGGATGGGTGGGTGGGGGTGTTGGTGTGGGTGTGGATGTGGGGGTGGGGGTGAGGTGTGGGTGTTAGAGACCTGCGGAGTCAACTTTTTTCATTCCGAAACCCGACTCCGACTCCGAAAAATTTCTTTCTTCCGACTCCGACTCCGACTCCGATTCCGAAATCTTTCTTTTTATGACTCCGATTC